AAAAAAAAAAAATTAAAGATTAGCAAATAACACTGTTGCACTGAACTGTATAATCTCACATTTGGCAGATGAGAAAAAATATGAAATTAGTTGGAACAAATTATTCGAACCTATTTATTATCATTTAATATCCTGAAAATTTCATGACAACGGGCATCAAACAAAAATACATAATCTTGCTATTTGATTTAACATTTTAAATAGAATAAATGATTTAACTACTTGGAAAGTCCTACTATAGCATGATACTCATGCACAATGCGCACATGCAAATTCCAGTTTGAGGAAAAAAGATCAAACACGAAGAAGAAGATGATGATAGTAATTCACATAAAATGTAGTCAAGTGAGATGGGAGAAATGCAATTGGTAGCTTTTATGTGTCTTCACCTGTATATAAGCCTAATCATAAAATCACAGACCCTCACACAAACAACAGTTTTGGACTTATCAATAAAATATGCGAACATATGCTAAAGTCATACCAGCAGATATGATGAGTGCTTGAGCTGTATAATTGAGATTTGCCTTTGCCCAAGGAATTGTCCGCACAGCAACCAACTGAGAATCAGAGAGCCGATATTTATAAGGTACAGACAATTGAGAGAAGAAAAATAACTCTTTTCCCTTTTAATGAATATATTCGCTGTCACAGCACCAAAGTGTTGGAAAGATAAGCATAGATATCAATAAAAGAAGGGTCTGTTCCACAAAGGTCAGATAAGCTGATAAATGAAAATAATTCGGACAAAAAGAAAAGTTGGTATGGCCATGACGGTCTCCTTTTTCCCCTTTCATGATTTTGGGAGATTCATAGTCGAAATGTTATTTTAATTACACGAGTTGCAGTCAGCACTATCTAGCAACTCTTTTACCAACAATAGTTATCAGAACCAGAGGAGTGCAGATAAATGGAACTCCTGACGAACTGAAACTCCAAAATGAAGTTCGACGACAATATTGTACTTCTATAATAGCAAGAGTATGGTCTAGATCCCAAAATGCTAGGGATATAATCAGATCACTACAAGAACATAAGTTCACGAACCGTAGGAATTGCACTAGCAACGCATGCAATTGCAGCTGCTTTAGTTCCCGCACGTACACCTTCTGCAAGTTCAGTAAAATCAAAATGCACAAACAAATCAGGTATTAGACATATCTGTTCCAGTAAATGGAAATAACCAAAAGTTATAAAGGGGCAAATTTCACATATAACATGTACATTAATTAGCAGAACAAAAGAAGAACGAGAGAACTTTCTTTTTACACTGTCAACATAGCAAAAAAGGACATGACCCTAGATAGGAGGATGTGGAGGTTGGGAATTAGGGTAGAAGGTTAGTAAATAGGCGGGAGTGTCTCCTTTGCATTCCGGGAGCATTAGTATTAGTCTCGTATTTTCGTACCTTCTTATCCATAGATTTCTTTTACTATATGTCGGTTCTTTTGCTTCGATTATTCTATCACCTCGTCACCTCATCACCTTATCTTGATATTGTTACTGCTTATTGTGTCTGCTTCTTTTTCACTTGTACCTTGAGCTGAGGTCTATTGGAAACAACCTCTCTATTTTCACAAGGTAGGAGTAAGGTATGCGTACATTCTACCCTCCCAGACCCCACTTTGTAGGATTACACTGGGTTTGTTGTTTGTTTAACATAGCAGAAAACTAGTTGAAGTAATAATCATATCACAACCAAGTTAAACAAAATATTCAAATTTTCTAATGCACTAAAATATGTATAAGAGGAAGTAACCAAGCATTGCAAATTTTCAATCAATAACAAAATAGAACTCGAGTCAACTTTCTAACAGTTGTTTTCATTTTTATAAGCCTTCATAACAACCTACAAACATGAGAAGTGAAACAATATAAACTAACAGAGCTTGAAATTAGCAAAAATATCATCCAACGCAAAGTTTTTTTATCTTCATGATCATGACGAGTTTTATCAACAGCAAACCAATTTCAAGAACAGAAGAAAATCTAATGCCAGAAACCTGATCACTGTAAGTCAGTAACCAACCAGAAAGCAGAAGCAACTTTATATATATATATATATATATATATATGTGTGTGTGTGTGTGTGTGTGTGTGTGTGTGTGTGTGTGTGTGTGTGTGGATGAATAGGTAACAAGCAACTTTATAGTATAAAACTTCAAAAGAAACAGATCAGGTGACGTATTTTGAAGTGATAAAGAATGCACGGTATATCTGTTTACTGTCAACTCCATATGAAATTTTTTCCTCTAACAAAAAAAAAAGGAAAAAAGAAAATAATTTGAGAAAACTTTTGTTATTAGGAAGTAGGAACTAGAATAATCAGATATGGGATGTGTGATGAAGATGATACTTCAATAGAATAATCAGATATGGGATCTATGATGGAGTTTAGTACTTCAATACTTTGTCGGATATTGATTGCTTGAAAATTTCATTTGAATTTAAACGCAAACCAAAAAAGTATGTGTTTGAAGAATATGTAATAGCAAATTCTGCACTGGGTATGTTGTTGTTGTTGTTGTTGTTTATAATAGCAAATACTTAAATGCCCTCTTAGGACTTAACGTTGTTCAATGCATACCATCATCACCATTACAAAGGATTTTGTTTATGAGATAGTACCAAAGAGAAACAACTAACTATGTAGCATCAAGCATGAGAAATCCCACTATAAGAAAACATCACCAGTTCCACGTAGGAGTAAGCCAAAGAAGCACGAGGCAGTAAAAAAAGCCTTAATTTAAGGTCATATTCCCCCTGATCCCACATATGAACTCGTGTAATTCTACCAAAAACTCCTCAGAAATTGGCCGTAAACTACATAGGAACCATATCCCACATAGTCTTCCTTTTTTTTCCTGCTAAAGAAAATAAAATATTATTTTGACCTTATGTGAATACTCCTAAACTCAGAAAAGTATTCTAAGTAACGACATGCCAAGTATGCAAAGCAACAAAAAATCCTGAACAATTAAGGCATATCATGTTTTATGCTATTTTCTGTTACAACAAGGCTGATTGATCCTACTTCGCAAAAGCCTCTTCTACCTCTTCCACAAGAAATGACGATGCAAAATGCGCTGAAATCATGAACAGCCAGCTTCGTAGGTTGTTCAAGTGATCAAAAATAATTGGTCAGCCAGGCCATGGAACAAAATAAATGATGATCCAATCATAGGAGGCTTGTGAATTGAATATTTTCAATGCTTTCTAAAGTCGATCTAGAACCCAAACGTCTCGCTACATGAGGTTATAAAAGGTTCTTCTCTACATATAAAACTAGCTAAACAAAGCTGTTTCCAATGGGAAGCTTGTGGCTGGAAAAGAACACCAATTACAAATACGATCATATTTCATTTTAATTTTTTTTTTTGATCAATTAACATTCCTTAACAGCCAAACTAGAGTTGACCCAGAAGAAAGAACCCCATATAATAAAATGAGGTCCATCACAAAAGCTAAGTTTAAGCGCTCAGCAGAATCCTAAGCTAGATTAGGGACCAACACTTTTCTCTAAAATTAAAATTAAGTTCTTTTCTGATAAACTCTAATCATAAAACAAAGGTAAATTTCAATATTTATTTCACCAAATATCTAGAAATGAGAAAAAAGTTGGGAAATTAAGAACCTTGAGTACATTCCCTAGACTTGCGAATTCTGTCCTCCTCAAATGCAGAAGCAATCAACAAAGTCTCCCTTCGCTTTGCCCACGAGTCTCTCATCTCTGATGAAATTCCCATCTCTCTTTTCTTGTTGTTTGATAAATCAAGAAGTTTCTATGTCAGCAAAAACCCCCGATGGATCTTATGCACAACTTTAATTTTCAGATAATTTGACAGAAACTGAGGCGGCGAGTTGAGAGTTGTATTCAGTTGAATTTGGACTGAAGAAAGAAAAAAAAATAAACTATTTTATTTTATTAAAAAAATTCAGCACGGAGAGAGCCCACCGAGTTTGGCTGTTTTCTTGCTATTTTTATTTTCATTTTTGGGTTAGTTATACTGTTAGTTCATATCATTGGTATATAACAATAGTCATCTATAAAAGTCAAATTTTTTCTGAACTAACTTTTATGTTATGTTATAATATATGTTCTCTATAACAACACTTCGTTATAACATTCAAAATTATTCGGAGAGACTTGACTATAGTAACTAAAAGTTTATCGGCACTCCCTATATAAAGTATGTATATTTTATGTAAAAATAGTAAGTAGCATTTATTTTTAACGGACTAATAAGGAAGTAATATTAGTATATAAAATGGAATAGAGGGGAATATTTTACTACTTGCTAAGTGGGGTGCTGACTGATTTACACATCGGTTTATTTTATTGGTTTACCTCTTAAGGGATCGTGGATAAATTACTGAAATTATAATACAAGAATTGATCATTTTATTTTTTTAGCTACTCCAAAACATCACGGAAAATTTTGGTTTAAAACTCAAAACTCGATGGGTTGTTGAACTTGAATTAATTAATTTCTTCCTTTTTTCCTTTTATCTCCGGATTGATGTGAATAACCCCTCATCTACTTATTACAAGTAGATTTCATGAATACTTTGTCTTGATCACTTATGGCAAGGTTAAAAGATAACTAATGAACAATTTACTAAAGTATGTCTAATGGATTCCACCAGATAACCACTGCTTTAAATTTAAAAAATTAAAATGATGGTGCAATCATTGACTATTCTGGAAAAGGTTAATTGGGAGGGACAATAATGGTAACTGGGCAATGAATAGGTTTATGTTGAAAGTCTTCATTTAATAACCAACTCATTTGCAGATCTTACAGCTATATAATCTGGGTTTTTGCAAATAGAATAATACTACGTTTGCCTAAACTTCTAAAATCGATTTATTTTGAAAAGTGTTTTCTCAAAAGTGATTTTAAAAAATTTTTTAGTGAAAAAAAATTTGTGTTTGACTAATTAATTTAAAAATATTCTTAAACAACAATTAGTATTTGATCAAACTTTTAGAAGTACTTTTACGTGTAGTTTTCCCAAATGCGCTTTTTCAAAAAGGGTTGTTGAGAAAAAATATTTCTCAAGAACTGTTTGTACTTCTACTCAAAAATACTTTTTTTCCTTCTAAAAGCTTGACCAATCACCTTGGCTTTGAAATTAAAAAGTTTATGACAAAAAAAAAAAAAAAAATTGATCAAAAAAAAGCACGGCCAAACATGCTATAAGACTCCACTGAGGCCATTTCCATGGATCACCACTATATATATATATATATGCTAACTCAATTTGATGGTTAATACTTCTTAGGGTTGGAATGCCACCTATATTTCATATGTACATAAAGAAGCACACAGCATAATCCATGATCTAACCACGTATATTAGGAAGATAAAAGAATTTGGGATTTTATATGATGTACCACCACTTTAGTAAACACATCTTTTGTTAAAACACACATGGTACTTGACGATCACAATTACATTTGAGGAGCTAACTTCTATTTTAATATGTCCAAATTATAATTATTTTCAGTAACTTCTGCATATACAATTTTATTTTTATAAAATTAAAGAAAATCGAGATGAAGACAAAAATGAAGGTGCTTCGCCCTCATGTTTACCCGAAAAATGGATAGAGTTAAATTTGTACGTAGTTCTAAGGGTATGTGGTATAACTTGACACAAATCTTAAGAGTAAATAAGAATATGGAATATTGACGGTAAGGATGAAAAATAAGCAAAGTTGAAAAGGGGATGATTTATGGATTAAGTAAGCTGAATCAATCTTATGAAGCTTAAAAAAAGATAATTCTTCAATATGGAAGTGTATGATATCTGAGTTACAATGTATGCCCAAAACTCCATTCTTTTCAGAAATATAGCCATCCCTCTTATAGTGGAGGGATCCTACTTTAGGTACAAAAAATACATAGTACGGAACCCATGATAAATCAGCTTTTCCTTAATTCCCGCTGAGATTCTATCCCTTAGTGCGGTTGTAACGGCTCTTGTCTACGAGCTCGATCTTGATCGGACTCGGTATTGATCAGTATTGGTTGGTTTCCAGTTTTAGAGTTCGATGTGGGTTTGAGCTCGATGTTGACTCGGGACCCAGTATTAGGCTGGTATTGGTTGGCCTTTGGCCCTTAAGCTCGATTCCACTGTTTCTCATCATAGTTCGATTTGGACCCGAGCTCGATAATGACTTCGAGTTCGCTATTTGACCTGTCCCTGAAACTCGAAGCTCGTTTGTACCTTCTTCGGATTCCATTTCATATTATAAAGACTTTCTTTGGTCCATTATGTTCCCATCTCGATCAGTCGTACGAAGGCCGATATCAATTTCGACCGTATACAGATAGTCCCCTCGTTTCTCGGGAAGGATGTGGAGAGAAACGATATGATTTCAAAACGGCTCGATTGGATGTACACTGACGTTTGCATCGAGTCCGACCATGACGTACGTGATAGCTGTCCCGTCGGTTCAGTTTACCAAGGCATTTAATGCATATCAGGCGGTGGTTGGCCACCGCTGATATTGGACCGTCATCGCTCTATCTATAAATAGTCCCTCTTTTTACCATTTATCACTTTTACATCTTCAATCTCCAAATTTTTCAAGTTCTTTCTCGCATCTTCTGAGTTCATCCGTAAATCTGTGATTTTTCTGCAAATATCTTTCTTCTATGATTTTTACTGAAAAATCTTTCTTCAAAATACCACATCTTTGTCATCTCCTTCTATTTTCCATTTCTAAATCAAAAATGGCGAAAACATCTAAAACCGTTCCTCAAAAAGAAAAAGCTTCTTCTTCACAGCCTACCGTCGACAAAACACCGGTGGAGCCACGACCTGAGGAGTGTGTTCCCGGGGCTTGTGTTCTTACCTCCGATTTTAAGGTTGATAAAGGCTCGT